GTCGTAACTAATATATATATATATATATATATATATATATGTGTGTGTGTGTGCGTGGAGTGCGTGCTGTCGCTGGTTTACGTACTCTCTGTAATGTGATTCTGCAGAGCTTATTACAGTCCACTCATCTTTCACGATTCACTTTCTAGATCATCATTCGTATCGCGACCCACGAATGCTTTTTCTACCTCATGCCTAGGCGCTAATGCTGAAGTTGACCTTTTTTTTGCTTTTGATAATAGACCATGAAATGGGATGCATTTGTGACGATCCTTATCTCCTTTTAACCGCTGCAGGTTACTGTGTGGTGCAGAAGAACGACTTCAGACTGCAGATGAGATAATGTCGCACCCGTTTTTCGATGGTATACACTGGAATACCATCAGGTACGCACTTTGGCTGTCGTTTTCTGCCTTCCGTTAGCAGTAACTCGCCTCTGGTGTGATTCTTTGTTTATCCGGTTCTATCATTAGACTCGAGGTTTCTGTTTGAAAACGTATTGTTTTTTCACGTTCCAACGGGTTCCTTTTTATTACCCTACATAGCTGTTCATCAGATACAGTTTTCACCCACAGATATCTTCTTTACTGCCACGTGTACTCATTAATGTGTGATATGTCTGTGCGTCTTCCAGAGATGAAGAGCCTCCATACGACCCGAACGTAAAGTCTATCGATGATACGTCAAACTTTGACGAGTTTGCCGAGGATGAGTCACCCTTCAATGGTGGTATGCTATCCAATATTGTTTTTGTGTGTTTTGCTCCTGAGGTGCTATTTCGGTGGATGTTCATTGTCTATAAAGGTTTTCAATTCTATAAGGAATTCGTACGAAGAATACGTTGTTGCCATCATAGGGTCATCGAGGCCCGCATATCTACTGTCTTTATCTCATTGACCTCGCTCTTTTATATCCGACTAATTCATACTTCCTAATTCCTGCATTATGCGCAACAGCTATTGATACGGCCAAAGATACCGTGCGCGATCTCGCATTCATCAATTACACGTACAAGCGATTCGATAATTTAACAACGCGGGGTTTACATCGGTAGCTTGTACTGCAATTAGCAACATAGCACTTGAATAAAAACCCCTCGCTGCATTTCAACGAGAAATTATTTTTTTCCTGGCAATTTGGCACCGCCAACACGCGGCAAAACAACCAGTTTGGTATTCGTCTATTTGTCGGACATGTACTTCCCTAAATTTTATCTGAATCTTCCAACAAAATTTCAAAAATGCCCCTGATTGTTCAATTTAGAAGGCTATGGATATAGAGAGAGAAATTGCCACAGAAGTATTATCATTTTATTTTAATAATGTTACCTTGGGTCGTCCGTCGTGGAATATATAAACCATCCTAGAGCCAATCAGAGCCTAGCATAACTATATTGTAGTGGCATTTTCCTTCTCACTGACCAGAGAGGGGTTTCCCCGGCCAGACTAGCTGACTCGGTGAATTAAACAGAGAGCAATAAAGAAAGTCGGTTTAATATGGTCTATAAGTATGTACAACTTATCAGGCCCGATATTCTAAAAAGTACAAATATACGGCAAAATTTCAACAATTACTTAAACAACCCTGAGGTATTATCCAGCAGTACTCAATGTACTCTGATATACCTGCATGATTACACCTTTGTAACGGTTATTGACGCTACACAGCCAAACACATTTGAATAATAATTCCAACACCGTTTATACATTACATATACTATATGGGTAATAATATATACACACTCAAGTAAAAGCTGTACAATATTTTGTATGACAACGAAGAAAAGTATGTATAAGAGCTACAATCTGGATTCGTACATCAGTAGATGTGTATTTACTATTCAGCATGAAGATGTCATACATGAATTCTACAAGTTCTACAAGATGGAACTTTATCATTTAATCTATTTGAAGAATTATTCTCGATATATGAAATCGGAAATTCTAAAGCATTGTATGATTTGTGTAGTGCATATTATACGTATAATATTTTACATACAGTGTTTCTACACCGCAATTTACACGGTAGTTTTTTAATTCTTTTTTATCTGTATGTGGCATTGTGACTTATTAATAGCAAATATAAAGCACCACACTTCTATTGCAATCTGATACAATTATATAGTATATTTGCCACAGTTGTGTATCTTTGCAAATGTCGAATTTAAAAGGCCATACATACACATCGCAATCAGCTCACTATTGCAATAAACGTTCGTATACGCAACAATCAACGTGTTTGTGTACTAGCTTGTGCGTCAATATAATGTGCTGTATAGATTTAGCGTGCTGTTGGGAGTAAACATATGCTGTCAATTTTATAAATGGGAATATATATATATATGGTATAATAACCAGATTATGACTACATGCAATACAATCATTGAATGCATAGATTGGCGATACGAACTTATGTTCAACTATGTGGTATACGAAGGATGAATAACAATGCGCAATATGATCATATTGCATCCACTGACAGTTTACGTAACTATGTGGTATGCATTGCACAAAAAACTATATGCAATACTATTATAATGCTTGGATTGGCGATATAAGCTTATGTCAATGTAGGTTGAATACCAAGCATTGTTTCACCGTCATATTGTCGCAATTGGGTTCATAAAAATGGTATCAGTGCGAAACTCATTTCCAATAAGATAATTTTAAGGACAGTATAATTGAAATACATTTCTAAAAAACTGTAACAATGTGCCCATAGCCATGTACTCGTATTTGCCATTGATGATTTTGTAGACTGAGAACAAATATACTTCCTGGTATAGGTCACGTGAAATGATGAAACATACTGTGAGATTAGAAGATACGATCTTTTAAAAATATATCACAAGCTCGTAAACGTTTGTTTTAGTCGGTTAGAATTTGTGTCTGGAAGAATCATTTTAGATTCCTATTTCGTGTTTTTTGGACTCAGTTAATACAATTTATATGACTGCTTCTCTCGCAAGGGAACCGAAAGTATCAAGCCAAGAATCAGTCAGTGTTAGAAGCTTAGCGTTTGAAATACCCTGCCTTTTTCTATCTGGTCGCGGCATTTCCAGATACTGCACCTGAAAGCTCTTTTATTTTGACTGTAGATAGTAATAAAAAATAGTAGCACATTCCGAAAAATGAAGAAGTATGTAGTACATAGGTTGATACAGAGCCAGTAGGTACATCGAGTACTTCTCTACCAACTGAATCTAATATATCATATACGAGACTGATAGTACCGAGGACGACAAAATCGAAATCCCTCAGATTAAAGACATAAGGTGATCCCCTTTTGTGTGTATCATTATACTGCACGCGTAGACACTTGTATCCACCATTGAAAATAAAATGCACGACTACAGAACTCATTCCTTGCAAGACAGTCAATGCAAAGCATTCGTATTTGATTAGGGTTGCTAAATTGAAAACGTCTACATCACATACATGTGATTTCATTCGATCCGGCAAATCGCTACTGTCTGTCATACTAATACTAATGTAAAAAGTATGTGAAAATGTTAACAAGCACAGTTGGTAGGTGACAATATTTGGTTCTGCCTCCATACTGTAGTTGCTTTCATGAAAACATGACATCAGTGTCTACACTATTTTTAATGAGAAAAAATTAAGAACGTTGTAATAGTTGAAACAGGTTTTTGAATTTTCTCAGAGCCACTCATATTTCCCCTCCATTTTTTTTAGTCTAAAAACGAGTGTGATTCATAGTAGGTCTCGATAGTTGTGGAAATAGACTATTTAAAGAGTGCTGAAAAGATACGGCTGTATACGCTTACTAACCGATGATCGTGTCGTTAGCTTCAGTCAATCAACTTGTGTTTTGCTTTATTTTCCTCTCCATTGATTATGTTTCTACAAGCGATACAAGACTGTTTCTCTCGCCAGGGGATACAATCCACGTTCTATTTGAACAATCAACAAGGGATAGTAGCATTCGAGCATCCTGTGGTTTGCGATTTGATCACGGCCAAGCTTATTTGTTCTGACTGTAAGCCATATAAATTGGAAATATTGGCACAGCCCGCGTGTGATGGATGGGTATATAGTGCTTGGCGATCCTGATAACGATTAGATTATGATTAGGTAGAGATCATTCTCCCGTATTGTTGACTACCAGAGAATTGAACGACAACTTGGGAAACGTCGTATCCATTCGGTCATACAACTAAACGTACTGCCTCCTTCGTTTTTTTTTCGCCAGGCGATCGAATAGAGATTATCTTGAAATAACAGGTTCCAATTGAATAATCAGCCAGTGTTGAAATCATAGGTAAGAATCCTGTGGTTTGCGATCTGTTCACGGCTTTTCCATGCCCTGCACTTCCAAGCTTATGTGTTTTGACTTAAATAGCCCGCGTGTGATGGATGCGTATGTAGTGCTTGGTGATCCCGAGGACGATTAGATTATGAATAGGTAAGAACCTTTTACCCCGTAGGGTTGACTACCAGAGAATTGAACAACAGTTTGGAAAATGTCGTATTCATTAGGTCACAACTATACGTACTGCCCGTATAGCTTTTTTTAGGCTACCCCCTCCCCCCGCACCCGATATATGCTAAACCCTAGACTCCTCCCGGCGTATTAAAAGCTACTATGAGATAAACAGTTTTGGCCCAGATAGTGTTGATAAAACTATATATTGACTATTCGTATGCGTTTGTATACGCATGCTTTCGTTCTGAAAAGCGAAAGGCTGGAGGTATAGGTATGAAATTGCCTTGTTATTTTGCGATGGGTGTAAGTCCACATGTATATGCTCGCTCATGATTAAACCTTATCAGACTCGCTATTGAAAACATATGTGCAAAGGAAACTCGAGGCCGTTATAAATGATTTTGTATGGATGTGTGTCGTAAGGTACAGAGTATACAAAAGTGGAGGAAAGACCTTGTTATGATACCAGTAGTTAATAGGCAATACGTTGGTGGTAAGCAACGGCGAGCTGCGATCGACACGGACATTTTCATATTTTTTTTCGGACAAGGAAAAACAGGAGAGAGTGATACTCATTATATGCCTCCTGTAAAGCAGCTGTGAGGGTGTGTGTCAACTTGGAAGCCGCTCGTTTATATATACAAACATAGTCATCGAAGTCTTGCAACACGGACGAACGAGAAAATGGGATTCACTATGTTTGAAGTTATAGCGTTTGCTAGATAGCTTCATCTTCGAAGTGAATAGTTATCATTTATTCAGGTGTGATTTCTGCCTTTATATGCATTAGACAATAATATAAAGCTCATGACATATCTATTCCTTTATTAGTCACATTTTTTACACGGATTGTACAGAAAAGCCAGTATTGATACACGCAATGCACTAACTACAACACAGCATATTGACGTCAGAAACTATTTGACCATATAGTATGGTTCAAAATTCAATCCAATCCATTGAGGCAACTCAGCAAGTTATTGAATTTTTCTCTCGTTCTCTTCTGTTTCTGTCTCTTTTCAGCATAGTATAAATTGTTTTCTTTAACAGAAGCTTTGCCGCAAGAATTGACATTTCGATTATCAGGTAATTTACATCTGTTATGCTGTGGCATCTGCCAATTGGTCTGTATTATATGCCGAATTTAAAGTAGCAAAAGTGTCGAATTTGAAGTAGTGTCGAATTTTTAGTAAAAGAATCACATATGCCATAAGCTGAAGGTATCAATATTTTTTGACACCTGAAGCTCGATACATACATTTTTTCAAATGTATGACGAGGGCCTCTGATCCCCCCCCCCCTCCACCACACACACAAACACACGCACAAACATATATATGTATTTTTATATATATATATATATATATATATATATACATGTATTATATATATATATATATGTGTGTGTGTGTGTGTG